GGGGTAGGAAAGATGGTGGAATGAGATGGACATCATTACCCTAAGTACATGTATGAAGACACGAATGGTGTGACTCTACTTTGTGTACAACCAGAGACCTGAAAAAATGTGCTCTATATGTATACTATGAATTGAAATGCATTCTGCTGTCATATATAACAATTTAGAATAAATTTAAAAATTATAGAATAAACAAATTAATTAAAATTTTTTATTTTTATAAATAATAGAATGAAGAGCCTTCTTAAAAAGTAAGTTAAATATTTCATCTTAAGTGCCCATCACTGAAGTTGTAAGATTAAAAATAACACAAATTCCAATCCTGAAAATATTCTAGTTTAGTGGGGTAGGCATATGTTAAAATATGGTAAACATGTGTTTACAATGCAACCTGGAAAGTGCTACAGTTGAGACATAGTTAAAGTTATTTGAAACTATAGAGTAAAGGGAGACAATCCTCGTTTCAAGTGGAGTTGGAGATAGCTCTCCAGAGTTGGTGTTAGAAATGAGTGTTGAAGGACAGGTAGGTTCACCTGTTTACTAGACAGTAAGAGCATTCTAGGTACCATAAATAAGCTCAGCCTGTTTTGCAAAGGGTGATATATTCATTGTGACTTGAAGGCAGAATGTTAAGTGGAGGAAAGAGCAAGAGATGAGCCTAGAGAGGTAGACAGGGGCAGGACTTTGAGGCCCTCCTGAGTCATGCCAAAGAGTTTGGAATGTAAAGACTTTAAGGTGTGGCATATCAAATGTATATCTTAGAATGATTGCTAGTTCTGGGGCAGTCAGTGGAAGACTACATGCAGGATGTAAGACTGGAAAAAGGAGAGACTTTAGAAGACAGGCATAGGAAATATCCATTCATTCATCAGAAATTTATTGTGTGACTTCTCTTTGCTAGCCATAGAACTAAAAGTGGTATGGCCCCTTCCCAGAGTTTTCCATTTGTTGGTGGCATAGAGAGTAAATTAACAGTAACAATTACTGCAATGCCCAACACTGCAAGGGCTTGGAAGGCATTGTAATCAATGGACAAGCGGGTAAAGCAGTCTTTTACAACCTTGCAGAGGAGGTCCTTGATGGGCAGCTGGGTTGAGGTGTTGGTTTGAGGGTGTCATTTAGTGTGGTGTCATAACGAGGGTAAGATGTTGAATTGCCTCATGAAAATTTGGCCCTAGAAGTAAGATGAATGGGCTCCTTCAGGAGTATAAAGTTATATGTCATATATACACAGATTGAGGTGTATGGGAGCCAAGGAATTTCAGGAAGAATGTGAAGAGGGCCAAGAAGAGCACAGAGCCAAGGACTCCAAAAGGAGCTGAGAAAGAGGGAAAGCGAGAATCTAAATTGGGTAGATCACTGAGGCTGAAGGAAATAGTTTGGGAAAGGAATGGGCCACGGTGACATATCCTGCCAAGAAAGGCGAAGGCAGGATTGAAGTCCTGCTCCTGGATGAGGCAATGAAGCTGGCATTGGTGAT